CCTTCATATCATGTAATGTTTCTTTTGAGAAAAAGTCCGTTGGCGTGACCCTCTCCCCAGCCGCCATGAGGCTATGGGCTATAATAATCCAGTCATGTCTGAAAGTGTTGGCCCACACCTCGAACCAATGACTGGGTGTGGGGCCGAATACCTCCTCCCAATCATGGACCTCCTCTGAGGCCCTGCTTGTTGATGCCTGTCCTTCCGGCCTGGGCCTTGAGACCCTATCCACCTCGTCATCGCTACTTACAATTACAATCTCCGGAATGTCCTCCCCTGTCTCACTGTCATCTTATGTGGATCCCTTAGCGTCTTCCCGACTTCCCTGCCCAGGTTCTTCCTTGTGCTGGTCCTCTGTCCCTTTTTCTTCCCTCCTTTCCTTCCGTTCTTGCTCACTCTCATACTTTGACCAGGCTGGGAGCACATCGCCCTCTTTTGTAGGGGAGGGTCTACAGGCTCGCATCTTCCTTTTTCCCGTCCTCACAGGGGGCCGGGGTTGCGGTCCTATCACGAGCACTGGTCTGTTTCTGTTTTGCGGCCTCTCTGGTTGCTGCCATGGGTCCTCAACATTGATGTTTGCTTGATTAATATCGTTCTCGTTGTTGGGTGCCATCTTGGTCTGCCTGACTTCTATACCTGAAAGGCAGGACACAAGACATGAGAAAGCCCGAACCCATTCCCTTGTGACACTCGTCCCAGGCTCTGCCCACACGTGTCCCTGAATCCCGGTTGCTCCCACGGAAACAGAAAGGCATGAAGAAGAAAAAAAAAGGAGGAACAGCCGACCACCTCGCCCCCTTTTCCCAACGCCCCTCCAATGCCATGTCTTATGGTACAATGTCCCATCCCCCATTGCTCATCCCAGTATCCCACAAAAACTATGATACAGAAAAACCCCGCCGAATCGCATATTTTCCCATGCGACTCGTGCACACCCAGGCCGTCAAAGGGAAAGAAACACACAAAAAACAAAAGACAACAACCAGAAGCACAAGCGATAAGTAGGCCTCTTGCCACTGTCCTGAGCGGCCTTAGTCTTCTGCCTCCTTATCCTGGGCTTCTTGCAGCCATTGTTCCACCGGATCCCTAGTGAGAAACCTGACCAGTCGTTGCGCAGGGACTGGCCCCCTTATAGTGATCCCATCGAGGTTCTCAATCTCAAACGAGCTCACACCCAATTTTCTTGCAATACGGTAAGGTCCCTTGAATCGCCGCCCCAACTGGCCTGACCATGTAGTTTCTAGTGCCGAATTTCTGACTAGGACCATCTCCCCGACCTGCAGAGGCTCCTTCCGGATATTCTTCAACTGGTCCCACCTAGTTTTGTCCTTCATGCGACTGTCTAGTACCTTGTGAGCTATTTCTTCCAAGGCTTCCTCGTTCCTGGCCGCTTGTTCACACCTTGCCTCAATCAATTGTTCCGTAGTCAGATGAGGGTCATCTTCCAATTTGTTCCAGGTGGGTACTAGGGCCTCTACCGGAAAGTCAATCTCCCTGCCATACCATAGCTCTGTCGGGATGCATCCCGTCGTCTTTTTTGGTGTCCTATTCTCGGCAAATACCGCGTGTCTGAGATAGTCCGGCCAGTTCCCAAGGTCATCTGCTGCCAACTTTGCAATCGTGTTCTTAAGCGTTTGGTGCCCTCGCTCGACTGGCACGTTGGCCTCACGGTGGTATGGTTCTGTCAATTTGATCGGTACGCCAAGCCTCTTGCAGGTATTCAGGACGTCCTAGTTCACAAACTCAGTCACATTGTCGGCTATGAATCTCCTAATGAACGGGTGCCTCAGATAAAAGTCCTCCACCTAGTCTGCAGCTGCAAACCCAGTTTTCTTCTTGAGCGCGGTTGCCTCGACAAACCCACTAAGGTTATCCCTTGCGTCAAGTATGTACCTGTACCCTTTTCTGGAAACCGACATGACTGCCAGGTGGAGATGTACCATATGCCATGGCCCCAGTACGCGGGTGGGTCTAAGTGGCTCGAAAATGCGGACCGTGCTTCGTTCCTGGCAGATTTTGCAGGTCTGGCAGTACGTGGCTACCATCGATGCCATTCCCGGCCAATAATAGAGTGGCGTTATCTTGGCTAAGGTCCCTTTGGATGACCGATGGCCACCGGCCAATCCGTCATGCATGGCCTGAATAATGTCGAGTCGTCGCATCCTTCCACAGACTACTCTCCTGGGCGTCAGGCCTTCCTCCTTTCGGAATAGGTGCCCCTTTCTAAGCACATACCTATCCGCTTCCTCCCTAGCTTTAGGACTAACCTCGTGGGGTTCCTTGTTTCCCACCAGTAGCAACCCAATTTCTCTGAACAAACCTTCATATGACTTGATGAGGAAGAACTGCTCTTCTTCCTGAGTACCCGTCTGATTATTATCCACCTGATAGGCCTGATAGTGCTGCATCTCCAGCTTCTGAGACTCCAGCATGCTCATAACCCTTCTCCAGCCTCCCTCAATGGCTAGTGCGATTTGTTCGTCCCGGGGCTTCACAACACTACCACAGGCGTCCTTCTCTTCCCTCCTTCCAACTCTGGTGACCGTTCCCTCCCTTAACTCGGCAACCACTGCCAGAGGCCCTTTTTCGAGTGCTTTGATCAATAGCTCCCCAGTTGTGCAAGTGGTTCCGGCCATCTTGCTGTCTACTACCAGCGTCCCGCCCTCGTAGTCGAGGAACGCGTCGATCGGCTCTGCCTCTTCTAGCCCTTCGGGTGTGAGAGCCACCCTGCTCAGTCCGTCTGCTCGATTCCTAAGGCTGGCTATGAGCTCAATCTTATAGTCGAACTGCCAGATAAATCCTACCCATCTTCCAACAGTCGGGTCTATAGGCTTATAGTTCTTCAGGGCCCCGGCGACATTGGTTGGGTCTATCCTCAGGATAAACCTCCTCCCGAAGAGGTAAGCCTGAAAGACTTGAGGCAATGCAGTATCGCAAGTACCTCCTTCTTGAACTGAGAGTAGCGCCGCTCTACCGAATTGAGCGTCCTACTCTCAAATCTGATCGGTCGCTCTCTACCATCTTCGCCTTTTTGAATTAGCACCCCGCCGATTGCCATTGGTCCTCCATCCGTCTCAAGGATGAAAGGTCGACCGACCTCGTCGTTGAAACATGGAGCGACAAGGGTGACTTCTTCGGATGTGAGAATATTTTTCAGGGTCTGGACGGCCGATTCCCTTTGCTCAGTCCAATCGAGTGTGCCTTCTTCACGGATCATGGCTCGAATCGGTTCCGCTATCTTTGCGAACCCTTTTATGAAGATTCTCCAAAAGCCTACCACCCCCAGGAATGCCCTGACTTCTGTTGTAGTTTGAAGGGGCATAGGCCACTGTGCTATCTTATCGGTCTTAGCCGGATCCGGCTTCCTTCCATAGGCGCCACAACGAAATCCCAAAATTGTGACTTCTGGAACTGCCAAGATACTCTTCGGGCCGCTAGCGGTTATGTTGTAATCTAGGAATCTTCGCAGCAGCTCTCTAATATCCTGCAGGTGGTCCCAAACAAACTTTCTTATCCCCGGCTGGACTTCGGTCTCATCCTTCTCTCATGCTCCTTTGACAGGGTTGTCGTCAATGTAGGGCTCACATTTGTCTGGGAACATGTCCCTGGCCACCGCGAGCATCCTCCTTTGTGCCTCTGCTACCGCATTAGTAAATCCCATAGGCGTGACCTGCATCTGCAACTATCCTACTGGCGTATGCATAGCCGTGTAGGGCCTATCTCGTGCGTCCAGCGGGAGCTGGTCGTATCCTGAGTACAGATCTATCAAGGAGTAAATACTGCGTCCGGCATGGGATTCGGCCAGGAGATCTGCCTGCGGCAACGATCCCGCATCCCGGATGGTGACAGCATTTAACTTTTGCAGGTCCTGAATCCACCTAAGTGACTTGTTGGGCTTGCGGAATACAAACCACTTGTTGGCATAAGGAGATGCGGTGGGTTCTGCCACGAAGGAGTCCATTTTTGCCCTAAGGAGCTCCTTCACTTCTCCTGCGATCCCAAAGTCGTAGGCCGGTCCCTTGTCATTCCAACACTCATGCTCGACCGTGTGGATCCTGACTGGTAGGATCAACTTAGCGTCCAGGCGCCCTTTCTGATGGTCATTGAAAGTGAATGCTAGGTGAGATTCTTGGCACACTTCTTTGATTGCCTGTGTTTCTTGCTCCGTCAGAAAACCCTTTACTCCGATCTTCATGGTTTGGGCCACCTCATTCGGTATCCTATGTCCTTCTGCCACCCTCCTTTCTCTAATTACCCGAAGAACCTCCTCCTCCTTTTCCATGGCCTCCTCCTTAGTCATCGCGAGTAGGATGGAGACCGGCTTCGCCTTCTTTCCTACGGGCTTATACCTCCGAACGCTTCCTTCCCGGATCTTTCTTCTAAAAAATGAACGGCCGGAGTTGCTTGAGGGGCTTCCACAATGCGGGGCTGAATACTAACCAACTCCCCATTTAGGCAATAGCCTTTTTGGACCCTCTCCTCAAAGCGGGCGAGGGTGGCCGAGTCAACAGCCACTTTGTGGTACCTGATTGCTTTGACAAGCTGCAGTAAGTCCGGGATTTCTAGTGTGACCTTATCCTTCTTATCCCGGATCTCCCCGTGCTTGGGCAAACTGGCTCCCAATTCCACCTCTGTTTCCTTCTCTACTACCATGACTCCCAGGCCGTCTTCGTCTGACCTACGTTTCTTCATCGGGAGTCCCATCTTGACCCATTCTTTCTTACTAAAGGCCTCTTCGATCATAATTTCCACCCT